AAAGTATACTTCATACACTTAAAATTGTGCTTTCTTACAACTTAAAGACAACTAAAGTATATTTAGTATTAAATTAGTTGTTCCAAAATAGCACTCTTTAAGTATACTGATGATTAGTGCGGCTTCAAGTATACTAAAGTATACTTAGATTTAGTATACTTGGTATATTATTTTTTCGTCTTGGTAGTAAAGCTTTAAAAGTAAGCAATAAAATCTTAAAGCGAACAGGAAGCCAATGGAGAGAAGCCAGAACCAGGGATATGTGTTGGTGTTTTTTAGTACCTGTTAAAAGACAAGCTGCTGCTTCTGGACAACTTGCAAGYGATGCAGAGAAGATTTATCTAAACYAACGTACAAAGCATTAGAATAATCCAAACGAGATGTAATGAGAGCATGAATCACTTTCAAGGTCTTTGGTTGGKAGATGAGACKTCACCTTAGAAATAAATCTTAGTTGGAAAAAAATGGGTTTTATACGATAATTTATGTTTTTTTAAGTGGGTTGTTTGTGACTGCCATCTTGAAACAGTTTAACTGCAAAAAWTAATCAGTCTTAGATGTATAATTTATCCAACGATGCAAGTTTTTCTTCTGCAAGTCTTGTTAAAATGTGTCCAACAGTTCATGAGATATTTTGCTAATAGACACAGACAGACTCATAACTGCTTGTCTTTGCCAGTCAAAGGTGGATTTCTTTTTGAAGAACTGTAGTAAAAAAGTGAAGAAATTACTTTTATGTTCTTWGGATCAAATGTCTGTTCTCTGCTTGTTTAAAGTGGGTCAGTAGCTGGAGAGAAAAAGAACACTGATTTCATTTCCACGTGTCCTTCTTTTCATATAAAAACTCAGTTTGGATATATCACAGTGTTATGGCTCGTATTATAGAGAACCATCAAAGGCTGCTGTGTTCCTGTAGGCGCCACACCCCCCTTCCTACAACCCACCACCTCGAAATGAACCAAAGAAAGAGCTTATCTGGACATTTACTAAGGCCCAAATAATGTCTTTCAGCCAAACTGGTAATTCACCAACAAATTCAGGATTTTTTTTTTTTTTTTTTGTAGAGCAGTAACACTTAAATGCAGCCGTGAAAGAAAAACTTTATTAAACATGTTGGAAAAGCTCATCCCTGTGTTTGTATATATGACTCAAATTGCTCTGTGGAAATGATAATGCATGCCTCCATGAGTGCACAAAGGTGAAAGCGGATGTTAGACATGTTCCATTTATCCTGGAAAATAGTGAGGCAGGGTGATTGATGCATATGGAACATTTATATACAGTATATAAAAAAATATGAAATTTAAAAAAGGCTGCAGTCGCTCTGTTTCATTCGTGTCCCCMCTTTTTCACTGCATCAACTTTTATAGATCAGCAGCTCAGGACCTGAGTCAGACGCAGCGGAAAACAAAAAACAAAAAAACTCAATCATTAAACTTTTGGGAAATGAGAACAAGTCATTGATTATATTATTTATGAGCCTAATTAATCTCTGAAAGGGGGGACTTCTTTCTCTTCCGGGCATTGAGGCATGGGGGACACCATCTTTAGGGGTGGCATCAATCACCTGCTGTTCAGGCAATTGTGTGTGACAAGAAGCAGTAAAGCACCTGAGCTCCACCTCATCGCCAGGCCCCTGGGCTCCAAATTAATTGAAAAATCTCAAAGCCCACACTTATCTCTCTGAGAATGAGATCAGGAACCAGATGCAGAAGCAACAGCAAGGATAAGGAAAGGATTCTACTCGCAACACAAAGCGTCTCTGCTTTATTTGTGTTTTTTTTTTGGGGGGGGGGTGCTTTTTTATTACGCTGCTCAGTTGAGAGTTTCTTTGTAAAACAACTCGGCTATTTTTACAGCAGCTGGCGGAGCGCTCAGATGAGCAAACAAAAGCTGCTCGACAAATAGCAGGGACGTATAGAGACATTCATGTAGAAATTTGTCTTAAAATATCCTGCTCTTTGTTAGATAATGAGTAAGATGTCAGCTTTTCTCCAGCAGTATTAATGAATGCAGTCCAGATCACACTAATTATGTCTTCTTCTAGGTGATCCTGTGCAGCATGTGCACCACATGGAAATGTGTGAGAAAAGAAGGCAAAATAAAGACACACTCTGGAGGGAGGAAAGTGGAAAGTAAAGAAGACACATCACTAAAGCACCATAAAAGCCTGCATGTAATCGTTCGTTCCACGAGACAAAGCGCTCTCTGAACGCTCATGATGGCAGCGCGCGTTGTGCTCCTTGTTCTTTTCTTCTGTCAAGTGGAAAGAAGTGGCATTTCAGACGCTGCTGGCCTTTCAGAGCAAAGCGAGGACTTGCAAGTGATATCAAGCAAACGGCAACAAGTCCTAATTCAGCCAGAGCCCAGGGACGTCTTGTTTCTGAGAATCAAAGAACTGGGAGGCCGAGGTCAGAAGGCACAGGGTGATGTAATAACCCCAACAAATGCCAGAAACCCCGAGGATTTAGATTTGGACTATCCGAACAAGCAAACAAACATTTTTAGCCGTCCAGAGCTCCACTCTGAAGTGACTTTAAACAGTCAGAAAAACAACAATCTGACTAATAGGGAGGATGAGGGGGGAATTAATCGGCGCAGTCCGGTTCCGAGGTCAGAGAAGGTATTCTCTGTCCAGCCTGAGCTCGAAGTGGACGACAGTGTTCCATCTAAGTGGCTCGCAGAGTTTGGCTCAGGGCTACAGGCAGAACCTCACCCCCGCCACCGCAGGAGCTGGCTCTGGAACCAGTTCTTTGTGATCGAGGAGTACAAAGGGCCTGAACCTGTGCTCATTGGACGGGTAAGCATGGACTCATGATTCATCTGCATGTGTTAACATAAAATTATGTTTGTATGTTACTCCTCAGGGCAGAAAAAAACATTTGCAAACACACAGTTGTGCACGATTTAAAGGTCTTTCGATTAAGGCTGCTGCTTTTTCATGCCATAATTTTAGACAAATATCATCTTATGATGGAGGAAAAAGTTACAGCTATTTTGGTCTAACTAAAAATAATGTTATGCACAATCTCATATAATAATGCAAGCTGTTTTAAAGCTCAATGTATGAGCTGGAGATGACTCTCAGCTACTACTTTAGCTCAAAATGTGTAAGGTTGACAAAGTTTTTATTTTATTTTATAAAGATTCCTAGCTGCAGTAACCATCTTGAATTGAGAGGACTTCAAAGTTAATCAGTTTCTTAACAGTCGTCCCTGAAATTCCTTAAAGGGATCCCCGATTAGTTGTGACATTAGACTTTATTTGATAAACATATACTTTAACTGTAAAATAAAGACTGTAAAAATACTGTAGGCTGTTTAGTTTTGTAATTTTTAAAATATATATTTTAA